CACACACACACACACACACACACACACACACACACACACACACACACACACACACACACACACACACACACACACACACACACACACACACACACACACACACACACACACACCTCATGACATCATCATCCAGTGCCAATGATATCTATAACTCTCTTTCAGGGTCCAAGGTTCCCTAGGACTCTCATTTGCCTTGGCGGAGCCTTTGGACAGGACAAGGGAGCCTTTAAAAGTCAGAAATCACTTTCAGTGGTCCTAATCCTACCAGTGGCGATTTTTTGATATTAAAAGCTCCCTGTGCCCAGGCCCCTAGTCTTTCCCAAGGCAAAAAGGAGACCTTTAAAAGACCTGGGGACCTGAAAGCAGAGAACAGGAAGCTTTTAATTAAATTAAACATTATGGGCACTGGATGATGGCATCATTGGTTTGCACCATGTAACTTTATGCAACAGAATTTTGCCCCATGATTGGAGGCAAAGTTTGATGACTTTTATTGTTAACTGTGTTGGAATGCCTCAGATGTAGGGTGTGCTTACTTTTTAAGTATTCTTTGGGACTGCAATAATTTCAAGACTTTTGAGTGGAATTTTCCATATGTCTAAATTTATTGATATGTCTTCTCAGAAGAAGAATAGATGAAACGATTGAGTAGGTATGCTATATTGTCAAAGTAAAACACTTAAAATTTACTCACATTTGTGGTGTCCTGTATGGAAACTTGTGAAGTGAACTTTTGTTAGAGTGCTAAGAGTTCCCAGCTTCAACAAAAGTTAAATATATTTTCTAAGGGAAATGAAAGCTGTGATTTATTATAACAGTTTATTTATACTGCGCCTGACCTCCATTCTACCTAGTGCCGAATCTCTTCCATATATTGGACAGTGTTTTTGATCTAGTTTCTTTGTATGTAGAAGGAAGCTGCAGTTCCTTCAGAATGTTTTCAAACTTTGAAAATACCTTTTCAAAATGATTCAAAAAACCTGTCACTAAAACCAAATGGTCTTATAGAAAATGGGGATCCAAGTGCTTTTGTTGCACAAGAATAAAAAATATGATCCATTACGATTGACATCTTTATATTTTCGTTATATCATTTGTAGGTTTTAAATGAAACACTCTCGATGTTTCCCTTGCCAAGGAGAGGCACAGTAATTCTTTTATTACTTGGATTTCAATTATTATCCCAGAGCTCTAGTATCATACTAATAATGATAATTCAGAGCTTTAGATTTGTATAGCTTAGTGTTAATACTTTCTGCGGATGAGTAATTTAATGTCACCACAGTGAATCAGGCATGTTTTCCAACATCCAGTTTACAGTCCATTCTAGATAGTTCTGTGCTTAGGGTACCTCCAGTAATTATTACTGCATATTAAATGAACTGAGGGAAGCATTTTTATTTTAGTTTGAACCCTTCTCGAACATATATGCTAGCGCTTGGACTTCTGTCCTACTGTTCCTGAAGTTTCAAATGGAGACTTCACCTGCCTTTCACCTTCAGCCTTGGGAGAACATGCACAGTCCTGTTAGCTGATACTTTGGGTAAGCCTTCAACATTAATTGAATGATTGCTGCATGATATTTCAAGCACTTACAACTAAATACAAGAGATTAGGGTTGTCCTCCTATGACCCAAAGTAAAGATGAGAGTGCTTTTAAGAAATATTTTGTGAACGCTTGAAAATATGCCCATTTTTTTTTACTTCATGTCCTAGTTTAAGGGCTCTTTTACACTAGATGACATTTGCTATACTGATGTCTCTGCATGTAGAAAATGACCTATATCCTACATGTGGACAACTCTTGTGCATCCATAGTTGGCTGCAACATAGTGGCTAGGTGCAAAGGATTCAATGACTCTGATAAATGTTGCCAGGATTTATGTCATTTCCTATACAGAAATGGCTTCTATATGATAAGTTCTAATGGCGAGATGTGCCCACATACTGATTTTTTTTTGCCTCCTAGCCCTAATAATAATAACAACAAGAACAACAACCTTAGAACTGCAGAGCTGGAAGGGACCCTATGAATCATCAAGTCCAGCCCCCTGTCCAGGAGGCACAGTGGGAAACTGAACTTCCAACCTAAACCACTGAGCTATCCAGCAGTATTTACAGTCTTTTCCATCAGAGTGACTTACCAGTATTTATAGCAAGGGAAATTAAATATATTCTCCTTTTATAAAAGTGAAAAATTACTGTTACGTGGCATAAATGAAAATGTCTGGCTGCTATGAAGATTTCTACCCGCCCACTGACCTGCTTTGTTCAGCATTGGGCAGTTTTAGTTACCACATTAAGTGTTTCATTTCAGAAAACAATTCCTGCCATTGTTCAGTTATTAATGCGATGGGTGGGGTAGAGAGAAGTGTGTGGTAATCTTTCACACTTTGTTTCCACAGTCTGAGAGGTGGCTTCCTAAATAGCTTTTATTTTAAAAGGCAGTAACTAAGACTGTATAAAGAAAAAATAAAATTCACTGGAAAAACTGTATGAAGTGTTTCTAATTTACTGTCTTACTACAGGGATGTGTGCTTCTCACACTTTTCAGGATGTGTCACTGAAAAAAAAGATGTATAGTTGTTGCAGTCAGTTCACTTGCTCAGATTTAACATTTGATTGCACGGCCCTGATATATCTTAAGTTTTTCTTAATGTAATAGCAGCCTTGGATCAAGAAGTGCTAGAAAAGAAAGTGGCAGGCTAGCAGTTAGATGTTTATTTTTTTAAGAATTTTTTGACTGTTTCACGACACATTTGGCCTTACATTTAGAAACCAAGCATCTGTACATTGCAACTTGTGTTAGACGCTAGACACAAAGTGGAAAAATGACGAATTGGACTGGCTTGTGGCTTATAATAAAGCATGAGCCCCCAGAAAAACAAACCAGTTTGTGGTTTGTTTGTTTGTTTCGAGTTCGTGCCTGGGGGGAGGGGAACCTACTGCTTCCACTCCCTTTGGCACCCACCTGCCCCCTTTACACTGCCCCATTGCCTCCCCACCTGGTCCTACCACTTCCTCCTCCTCCTCTGTGGCCAGTGCCATCTTTGGAGACAGCAAGCCCGGGTCCTGGAAGGGACGCCGAGCTGCTGCCTCTGAAGATGTCAGTGGCCACAGAGGAGGTGGCAATAGGGGCAGTGGAAAGAGGGCAGGCAGGCATCTGTTTTGCTGAAGCAAAATGAAGCACCGAGTGGAAAAGTTTGGCATTTCATTTTTGACAAAGCAAGTTGCACGAACCGGACCGCTGAAGCAAAATGAAGCACCAAGTGGAAATTTGGCATTTTGTTTTTGACAAAGCAAGTTGCATGAACCGGACTGTGAATCAGCCCAGTTCATGGTTTTTAACCAGTTCATAGTTCGATTTGTGCCCATCTCTATTAGGCACTTGTATATTTCAGATACAGATATCCCTTGAAAATACAAGGACACTGCTGATTCTCACTCCACCAAAGTATTTTGTAACTCAGGCAGTTTTAATCTGGATCACCAGGAGTTCTGTGTTACAGGTAGAAAAAAGGAGAGAAATTCCTTACTAAATTTGTAACTGAGATTTGAACCTGATTTTCCACTTTGCCTTGCCATTAAATACGGCAGCAGAATTGTCAACATGATTTTCCAGTCTTTTGAGGCTCTGCAGGTATTTCCAAAAAAGGTGCATGCTACATGAAAAGAAAGATTGCTCCACGGAAACCCAGATTATGTGCTCTGAGTGGTATGCAAATGATGCGAATATTCACAGCTCCACCATTAATACTTCCCTTAAGTTTCATGTTTAACAAGGTAAAAGCATTTCCAATAGACTACAGTGATAGTAACAATGCAGGCTGAAAGGAATCTGAGGAAGGTTACGAATATTGTATAGTCTTTAAGAATTCTAGCTGTAGAAGGCCATGCATTGATGTTCCATTTACCAAATGAATAGAAGCTCTGCATGCCCCCTTTTAGGTTCTGGATGACCTCCATATAAACTGCTTATAGTGGCTGTTTGACAGACAGACGCATATGCAGATACAGCAATAGACAACCGATTAGCGCATCTCTAAGTCTTTAAGATAGTCAGACAAAGGGACGTGGTGGTACTGCGGGTTAAACCGCAGAAGTCTCTGTGCTGCAAGATC